TTTTCTCCAGTCACACATCCACTCGACCCTCACCCACTTATCAAACTAGAGTTTAAAGTATAGGCTTTGGAATTTTATGTCAGGTTTTCCTTGATTGTATTGAGAGAAATTTCATAAAAAAGGAAAGCGAATTGGTGTGGAACATTGTCCGCACAACATTGCATTTTCACTATAGTAATCTGAACCTAAAATTTACAACTTTTTCTCATCCAAATATATGAGATTTCTCGATCGTACTACTACTGAAATATTCAAGAAAATGCACGAGCGTGAATTTAGGTGGGTGGAATTGATGATTCATTTAAATCTTCTAGTCATTTGGCCCATACATCTTTCCTTACTCACTTAGCCCAAGAGTCACATTCAAAGACAACTAATACAAATCGATGCTCCTTACCAGATTGATGTAAATGTCAATGAAGAGAAAATTTATTGCTCTCGTAAACAAAATCACATTTATTCTTCATTTTATTCTTAATCAAGCATTTTCCTCTTTTGAAATTCACTTTTATTATCAGCACTCTCATTAAAGTGTGAATAATATATTTTATGCCACTCCTTAGATACTTATATTCTTAGTCATGCACCTTGCATTTTTCTTTCCTGTCATACATGTATATATGATGAATTTTTCCTTTTCTGTCATAGATGTTAGATTTTTCTCTTTGCTTTTATTTGTCTTTCTTTCATATCTTTCTATGGATTTTCTTTCTTCTATTAATCATCTATGGAATTTTTTATTAGGAATTTTCCTGTCTTTATTATAATCCTATATATACCATTACGTTGTTGCGAAGAAAGACTTACTGATTGATAGAGAGATATACAAATAAAGTACACGTGAAATTAAGAACTCACAACATGACATGGTTGATCTAGTTTAACAAGTCTACTCACTACCTTTCTTTTCTACTTTATCGGTTAACTCTATTTTCAGATCAAACTCAATACATGAATCGAAAACTCCAGCGACAAATCATCATGTGTCGAATCCGTTCAAAGATAGATTTGCATGGATTAGACTTAAAAGATGAAGACATGGACTTAGTCGTAAAAGAAGCAATAATCAAAAAACAATGTAAGGAACTGATGTTACACAATAACCAGATAACATCACAAGGTGTATTGATCCTAGCTAATGCACTATGCGAAAATCACGAAGTGACTTTATTGGACCTTTGGGATAATTTTACGTTTGACGAAGGTGTGCATGCTTTAGTAAATACACTCTCACTTAATAATAACAATCTCAAGGGACTTGGTCTTGGCACAAATGGCATTACTGACGAAGGTGCAAAAGATCTTGCTAATATGCTCAGCAGAAATACGACGTTGACTTGGCTAGGACTACACGAAAATGGTATAAGCAGTGAAGGTGTTCAACTGATAGTCAATGCACTTGAGAAGAATCAAAATACGTGCCTCGAAAAATTGCATATCTTCTCGAATGCATCCGTAGATGACTTATGTGTTGATTCTCTCGTTGCCATGATCAAACATAATCGATCATTGAAAGAACTTCTCATTATGAACTGCAATCTGTCCGATAAGGGTAAACAAACACTTCAAGAAGCAAATGAATCAAGAGAATGTGCATTAGAACTGAGAGTATGACACTTTATTTTATAAATCAAGCAATACTCTCTTATCTATGCTGCCGCTTCTCCCACTTATGAGAAGACCCCATGAGGGTGAAAAAATCCTTCTTTAAAAACATTTTAACATTTTTTTTCGTTGAATTCTTACTGAATCGTGTTTATTGGAAAATAAAATTTACGAAGGCATAAAAGAAAAAGTGATAGCTTATCTATGCATAATGGAAATATATTTTCTTCTGAGAAAAAAACTCGTATAACTAGAATGAACATGACAGAAAAAGAGACCTATAAATGGCTCGAGAAGAAGAATTAGACTTCATTTGTATCAACAGTAACAGTAACATACATTTGTTGAATATATAAAATATGGAGGAACGACATCTATCATATCTTTGTGACCATGAAGACTCACATTTTGATAATTTTGACAATTCGAATGATGATTCAAGTGGTGAAAATACTTCGACCATTTATGAATGTGAAGTGTGGATGCATCACTATGGTGAAAACAATAGTCCATACTCACCTCTACCCGAGCTGCACACCACATCCTCACCAGCGTCTATCTCCCTATTCGAATGTTAGATGTAAAACTTCTTATCCCGTTAACAACTTCATTTAGGCTTTCAAAGACAACTCTTTTTCTAGATAGTTCCTAGATTGTACAGGTTTGTTTCACCATGAAGTGCTACATTTTAGAAGAAGTTTCTAACTTTTTCAAGTTAGTCGTCAAACTATTCCTTTGCTTGGGAGAAAACTTCGTCTGAAAACCACGATTTACATCAAAAATTCATTTTTGCAAGGATTCTACTGACCGAAAGGAGGAATGTAAATGCTTGAAGTTTTTAGCGAATGTGCATCTGTATATACTCTAGTGTCAGTAAACATTTCAGATCTTTTTCTTATTCCAATCACGGGTGAACGAAGCATCAAAATTGCCAAAAATGTGGATTTTTTTCCATATTGGATAAGTCAGAAAAAGTTAAGAGTTCAATCATTTGAGTTGAAAATGATGTCATAACTAAGATCATAGAGATAAATGCGGACGAACAATTCCAGCTCAATTGGTCGAGTCATTCTTGAGATATGGTCAAAATGGTTTACGTTAAAATTCATAAGATTCTTTCCGCGACACCAATATCTTAAATTGAGCAAAATTTGAGGATCTCGACGCAGCAGGTTCGATCCTTGTTTTCGTGGAATGACTAATATGCAAAATTCAATTATAAGACTTAAAATTGAAAAAGTACATCGTTGTTAGCTTTTTTAGACAAGTATATAAAAGCCAAATATTTTGGGTAGGTACCTAACTCGAGTCTGTTTACTCGCTGGCAAAAGATATGGGTGTGTTTGTTCGTGGGTCTTCGCGTCTTTTCCCAATACTCATCTAATTTAATTTTCAATAAATCTTGTTCATAAAACAAACCACAAAAAGGAAAAGATAAAAATTTGAATAAAGCCAGATGACGTACTTATGATATGTTGTAGATAGAATAAAAGACAATGAGTAATGCATATACATGCTGCTTCTCTAAAACAGTTTCGCATAATTCTATTGTTCTTTTTTGATTGATTACATTCGAATTATGGGAAGTTCTCTTATGAACATGCTTGATTTGGTTGATACGCATCCAGAGTACGATTTTTTGCATTTCATACAAGATTGCACACTTATCTGACATCAAATTTATTTCTCATGTATACTGTAGGAACAAACCAAGCTCTCTCCAACCAGTCAAACACAAAACTTTAAAAAACGCATATATTTGCAGAAAATTTTAAGAAACTCGCATTGACTTGCAAGATATTTTCCTAGTTGGTGCGTCTCGCGCACGAACATACATGCAATCAAAATTTTCTAACTTCTTACGCAAAGCATGCTAGATGATGCATGACTCTTATTCTTGCAAACGCTTACATACAAGATTCCTGTGAAAGTAGGCTGTGGATATTGGAGTCTACCTCTTCACACTCTATACCGCCATCTCCATTAATACTCACCTGAAAGTTTTGATCGATTTTGGTAAGACTGGATCCTAAAATATCTCTCCTATATCTGTTTGTGGACTAAACTGTCGACGGATAGAATTCTTCAATCTCCAGATCGTCAAGTCATTAAAAGTAAAACTTGATCACTATGTTAAGATTACAGTTTCAACGAATGAACATAAACACTATATTGGACGACTTTTTAAAAAGTGCCATAGATAAAGTAACATTTGATCTATTCTGAGTAGTCTCATAATTATCAACAATCAATGAAAACGAGCTCAAAATAATTCTTTCTTTTTATTACAAATGGTTACCATAAAAGGTACAGGTGAAACATTATGTGAATGATACTTTTTATTCTCCATCTTTCTTTTTGTCCGGACTGCAGACAATCAGTGCACGCATGGTTACTATCTCGATGCATACGATGGTCGTCATATGAATAAATAAAATAGCATCATTCTTTGGAAGTTCTTTTCTTGCGCACTATATAACAGACAGAATGAACATGGACACTATCGGAGTATCCGAAAATATTACAGAAACAATCATCGATGATAATAAATCATCTGCATGCCAACAGTTCATGAGCCGATTGGAACAATTAATGATTTGTTCAACAATAACGAAGGAATCGAAGAAACAAGTATGGCTACAATTCATAACTCTATGGTGTGAAATTTTACAAATCCCACCAACCGATGTTCAATGATGTTACAATGAATGTGCTCGTCTTTTGTCAATTCTATTGAAATCGATCAGTTTTTATGTAATAAAGAAAGAATTGTCTATAGCGTGAGAAACTTTGTTTACCTGTATTAGTCAATTCAATGAATCACACATAAAAGATTATCTTCGATTGACGACCGAACAACGAAAACTAACAGAAAATCGAATCTATCATACTCATGTTTATCATCTTTTGATGATTGCTACACAAACAACTTTATCAATTTCGTTTTCAAGGATCGAAGATCGACAGTTTATTGATAATCATAGTGAAGTTGTTGCGACACTTATTGAGAGTGTCGAGCGAAGCATGCCAGAACAGTACCAGTCTATCGAACATAGTTTAGATGTTATTAATGAACGTATTCTCTATTTATTTTGGAATCTATCTGATCGAACAGTACTTATACCAGTATTTTTGAAATGTAACCTTGCCAAACGAATAGTCATGTGATTGAGTTGAGCAGCCATGTTGACAGACAAAGGTCGACGACCATTAATTAGCATTGCTTACAATATTGGTCGACATGATGAAGGAGCTGATGAACTCAATAGATTCGGAACAATTGATTTTATCAAACAATACAAGAAAATGTGAGTTCATTTTAATTTTTAACCTTGATACTTGTACGTCATTGTAGAAAGCCAAAGAAGAAAGATTCAAGAATTCTTACTTCATCGATGGCGTTAGCCCTATTATCAACACCTGAACAACTTAAAAGTGACAAGAAAAGTAGCAATTTAGTACTTAATCAATTGTTACAACTTGTCATGGATGCTGCTAAAAGTGTACGACATCGAAGTAATGGTTTCCATGTTAGTGAGTCACTAGCTGTCATGGCGAAATTGTTTGTTGTCAAAGAATGTATACTTGACTATATTTTATGTCATGCTGAAACAGAACCATCATCGGATACAATTTCAACTATTCGCCTACGTATTACTTTACTTATCAAATTTCGTGATGCATCAAAAGGAACTGGACGAGTCGAACAATTTACATTGATTGCTCTATTAAATATTCTTTGGAGTATATCATTTCAACCGACTTATGCGCAAGAATTAATCAACAATGAAGAATTAATTGAAACATTAAGAAAATATATCGAAAATAATAATGAAGAAGAAATTCTCGAACAATATAAACCACGTTCAATGGAAGGTATTAAACAAGCAGTTCATGGTATTCTTCATAATCTCAATTTGGATAATAAGAACGAATCAAAACCTTATGATCATTGCCATGTTCTCGATACTCTCGTATCAGATCCATTACCCTGGTAAGAAAGAGATGATCTCTATGAATTCATCGAAAGAAATTCTACTCGTCTGATATTTTAGTAGCAATTCCAAGCCCTTGATAATGATTAGTTATTCTCATGATAACAATACATTTTGCAGTCAAATACTTGATTTATTAGGTACACGTCTTGATGTTTTTGAAATCTGGATCGATCGAACACATTGTCAAATGAGTACCGATTTATGGGAGTCGATTGCTGAAGGAATGGAAAATGCATGTGTTATTTTATGTCTTATATCAAGTCAATATTTTGAAAGTAAATCATGTCGAAAAGAATTTATTTATGCAATTGATTTTCTTAAAAAAATTATTGCGTCTGTATTACTCGGAAATTTTGAACCGAGAGGATGGCTTGGTGAGTATCTAGGATAACTTTTCGTTTCATTCTATAGATTATTGTTTATGTTAGGTATTCGCATGACTGGTATGAAATATATTTGTATCCGAGATCTTGTTCGACCTGATGAAGCTAAAATGACTGACATATTGAATACAATTCTATCATCACTCTCATCCCAAACATCATTGCTTCGTGAGAAGATTTCACTCGTAGATCACTCTAGACTATTATCTCAACATCATTCAACGTCAACATCTATCGCTCCTATTACGGAATCAACTTTTGATCTTCGTCCATTTGAACAATGGACATCAACTGGTAATGATATAAATTTATGGTTTGCATACAATCGGATATCAACACAAATTCGAGATTTATTTGATTTTCAAACGAAAGAAGAAATGCTTGATTATGCTAAATTGTTAATTAAAGATCGTGAAAAACAGATGAATATTTACGCAAAAATTTATCATAAAAAATATCGTGAAGATGACATGTCTCCACACGAATTTATTCGTTTTGCAAAAGCTTTAGAAGGATTATATAAAGATAATTCTGCACTGCCGTCTGCCACCACACAAAGTTCATCTACTCTCATCAAATCGAATGTATGTGCGATTTTGTGAAGAGAATTATTCAAGCTTAGGCAAATCTTGTGTGAATGAACCTATGACTTGCCATTGTAATCATTTCCAATCTTCTGACAGTTGGATAAAATAACTAGAAAGGTGTCGGTATGAGGTGTCCGGTGGATAATAGGAAAATCAATAATAGCACTCCATCTCTACCGACACTCTCCAACATTTATTTATGGCATACGATAGATTATATATTGCTTTTGGTAGCCACTCAACTATTGTAATTGCTCTTTATCATTGAAATAGATTTGTTCCACGAAAAAAAGTTTGAGGTAATTGTATATGAGAATAAGTATCGTGATTTTTTTTTCTTTTGTGTATCTTATTCAAATAGATAGATAATATATATTACGGATTTCAAAATAGAAAATAGCTTAATGTTTTCTATTATTTTGCAGTTTTTGAAAAGCTTTGAAGTATAAATGTTTTCTTTTTATTTCATGTGCATCCTGTCTAGACCCGTTTGCAGTAGAGTGTGTAATTGAAAAAATCAAAGCAGAAAGAAAGAAAAACGTCTAAAGTTACTTTGCTGCAAAGATCAAAAAGGAATTGTTCGATAAAACAAGTAACTAGTATTGTATACACATACCAAGTCTAATCAATAGGCACGCAACACAAAATGTTCTTCATATACTGGGTTTCTTCATTTTTTTTTGTGATAAGTAGTTTATTAGAACAATGTCGAAAGAAGAAAGAAGTGTATTAAATGAAGCATGCATATCGCCAATATGATCTGCACATTAGACACGATTAGGATAGATATGAAATTGATCCCACTGATCGACTTCTCTCCTAGATGGTTGATTGACAAATGTTTACTAGCTAGTGATCTACTTAATTCTCTGTGCTATCTCTATCTCATACTAATTTATTATTTTGATTAGCCTCAATTCATTGACGCTATCTAAGTATTATATGATTAGGTTGCTTTCTTTTCAGCTAATACTACATATCCTGATTAGTTAATCAAGAAAACGAGCGTTGAACTATTAGCATATTGTAACTAAGATTTTGACGACAAACAGGTTTAAATATGCTACCGACACAACAGTAAAATCTCCATATCGGTGAGTATGAACATGAAAAGCTTCGCGTCTTCCAACAATGTCACAGGATTAACCTGAAGCCCTTCGGACTACACAGCAATGGAAAGCACCGAGACCAAAATTCGTTGAGCTATGACACAAGGTATCAACGTAGAATCATAATATTTCGCATTACATAGTGAAGGGTAATGGAAAGACTAAAAGGTTTCAGTCTGGCATTTATCTGTTAGGACAGGAATCTATGAAAGTCTACCAGATCCTGCTTCAGTTCTATATGTTTCCGCTCTCATTCTCACTTAGGAAATGCACTCTGTTTGTTTAGTTCCAGTATCACTCTATTTTTCAAAAAAATAATGTTATTTGCAAGTGTCGGCGCAATAGTATCACACGCGAAAATGTCATGTCACGAAGTTTAACGCTACACTGCAATGTAAAAGACAGACGGAAAAATGTCTCACGGTACTCATCAATCTAGGAATGTGAGGGAAAAAACTTCAGCTCATGCCAGAATACGTTATGACATGGACAAACAACTTGAGGTCAGACATAGATGCGTTGGACGAGTACATGTTTTCTATCGGTTTCTCTGAATATTCATTTAAGTTCTTGCATGATTCAACGGAGATATGGAAGATACATAGGTATAGAGCATAGTCGATATATAGGAAGTATAAACACTCTCCCGCGTTGTATTAATTATGTATATTTGTCAATAGGGGTCTTAATTTATCTTTATGTTGTGAAGGCAAATTAAAGAATAAAAAAAAAGACTTTTTCTGTAATAGGCAAATATCTAGTATAACAATAGGATGTGGATGTTAACGTTCTCTCTTAACACCAACAATGCTTCGATATGTGATTTGTCCTAAAATGAGCATGATACATGAAAATATAAATGCAATAATTCTGGTCTCTAGATTTTGTTTGTATCTATGATACTTTACTTTTGTTGTGAGTTAGTTAAAGAAAATAAAAGACTAGGTTTTTGTAAAAAGTTTTTCTTTGCTATTTTATTTATCTTTATTATTTAAAAATGAAAAATTTCATTTACATTTGTATTTATTCTTCATTATAAAGAAAGATTAAGTTTGCAAACGACTAGAATTAGTTCTTTTTGTTGACTTTTTCTCTACTATTATGTGGTTGCAACGCAAAATGATGTCTATTTATTACGAAGAAGCGATTTCTCAAGTAATTCAATTTTTTTATAGGTGCTCTACAAGGCTCTGTCGTAGCTGTAACACTTTTCTGATTCAATATTCATTTTCTGACAAACATGTTCTTTTCGTTTTTGTTTGTATCTTTTTGACAACGATTCGATACTTTTTTTTGACACAGGTATATCAGAACAAAGTTATCGACCAACATTTTTCAACTGAAAGAACAAACAAGAATAGCGTGAATATTCTTGCAAAGTTTTCGAAGGAATAGTGTGTTCTGAACTTGCCTAGTACAGAGAATACGGTATACAAGTCTACAGGTTCGTGGTTTCTTCTGTGTATGAGCATGAAAAAAGCTTCTTTCTGAAATAATTGTTACTCAATGAAAGTTTCGTGTGTAAATATTGTATACATTAGTCTTGACCTACTGTGTTTATTCTTGTGTTATTAGTCAATGTCTCCTTACATTTGTGTTCGTTATCTTTTCTTTTCTTCTTGCTTCATCACATTATTTCTATTTGTTCTCACTGTCTTGGCATGTTCAATCGAATAGCAATTTTTTTGATCAGGAGAATAATTCATCACTTTATGATGATATGATCTCCTCTATTCCAGTACATTTAACTCTGATAACTCATAGGGGAACAATAATGTTCTTGTGTCAAAAAAGACTCACATTGCTTACTGATATCACTGTGTGATATTATTTTTCTTTCTTTATTATGACAAATTATCTATTCATACATTGAAATTTTGGAAATAAAAATATAAATGAAAACATGAAAGTAAGTCTTGACAAAGTTTGTGTACGATTTCGAGTATTTTTCAGTTTAGCAGTCCTGCAGACATTCAAAACAAGCGATTTCTTCCAAAGCACAGCAGAAACACAAACAAGCCAAACTGGAATAAGATAGACATGTATTAGATAAAATAGTATAGCAGTTGAGATCTTACCAGTCAAAACAAATACCACCACCTCGAAGACCTTTTTGAATATTATCGCGTGTTGAACGAGGTTGTTCAGTACTGGGAGTGACCTTGATCATTGATTCCATCTCTATTCATAAAAACAAGTCACATTAGATGAAAACGAAACTTGGTTTGCTCACCTGTTGGATTTTGCTCGATCAACGATAAGATTCTATGAACAATATATATGATTTGCGAAAAATTTACCACTTGGTTATTCTACTCACAGTGAAGGTTGCTCTTGAATGCATGAAGCCATAATTGTAATCAATCACTTATACACAATGTAACACTTTATATGCGTTTTATCTGAATGTAATGGCCAATATATCGCACATCTCTATTTATTTTTTGCAGCGTTTTTTCTTTTCTTCTCTCTTACGTGTTGTTATGAATAATTGCACTGGTATCCGACCACATTGAGCAGAATAAATTGCACCAATGAAACTAGTGCGTACTTTGTTTTTCCTCTCAATTAATAGGTGTGCAATGATTACTCATGAAATGAAATGGACGATAAAGTAGTCCAACTATGAAAAAAAATACTGCAAAGAAGAAAGAAAGATAATGAGCTGTAATTAATGAAATTACATCTTCGATCTTATTCAACATGGTTTTTCATGCATTTCATGGGCGTTGTTTTTCAATATATGAGATAGACGCCTATTTCTCAATTAAATTTTATGCGTAAATCATTAGAAGAAATAAGTGACATGTACGATAACTGATATTCCACTGACTCTGTATTAACGAAAATAACTTAATAGTGTTCAGTAAATTGAAAAATAGAAGAAATGCTCTTAATTCCTCTGTTTACAAAATTGTTTCGAAAAAAGTAGTACTCGACCATCGACTTTATTGATTGACATTTACATCAGTAAAGATACTGCTGTAAGTTTGAATGATAACAACAAAATTACAATTGCTCGCATTAAATATTGCTCACTGAATATGCATTTCTTCACTATTATTTTACAGCGATAATTTTTAGAATCTGTTTCAATAACTGCGACTTGTGTTAACTTGTTATTCCAGGTACTAAAAGACTTTCAGTTTAACTCCTTCGGGTTAAAATGTAAAAGATAGTAGTGTGACTCTACTAACAAAAGAAACCTGTATTCACGTCGATCATTGTCTACGACTGATAGGTACACTAGCATGTCGAGATATCTGTCACGGTCTGCGTGCGTGTGTATGTAGGAGACTGTGCAATTTTTCACTTTAGACATCCACACTCTCGAACAGTCGTGTTTCACAAAAACACGATTAAATTCTTCAATCAATCTAACTTTCTTATTATGCAAAAATTGAATATGATGAGCGTGAGATCATTTCAAATATCAAAAGTGTCGAAAATTCTATACGAACACAACACATCAGTGCTGTGAAAGAAAATCCATTATCAGGCATGTAGTCAGTACCTTTAAAAAAAGAAATCACAACTCAACAGCACCCACATAAAATAGAGCTATATGATTTTCTCAACGTCTTGATCGTTCTTTTGAACTATTAAATCACTTATCTGCTGTTGAATTTGAACGATTGGGATATCATGATTTCATGCCAATTGTGTGCTTTTTCTATACTAGCAAGGTAGTCTCTTCTCATATCAACATTAATCAAGCTCCAAAAAGCAATTAAATGGTAGTTCTCAATGGTTCATGTGTAATCAAGTCTGATGCCTACTTTGGAACAAAAGTTTTGAGCGAAATCCTATTAAGTTTAAATGTAAAACATGATGAAACCACTATATTTCTAAACGAGAGCCTTTATCGCGTCTATCATAATTCATGACTCAATCAATATATAATCGTGCCAAAATATCTGTCACGACCTATGTAAGCTAATTAGACCAACATTTTTTCAATTGTCTAACCATTAAAATAGTTCTGTACTAAACCTGTTGTGGACAAATCACAAAAAAATTTGGTGCAAACGGCGGATGTATTTCAAGCAAACCATGACACATTTCGACTTTGCTAAATTGTCTCATCAGATAGCTTTTACTAAGTTACTGTTCAAATGACCCAAAGGTTACACATATTCTTCACATTTTCTGTAAGATGACATAGTGGATATCAGTTCTCAGTGTGGCAAATAGGCGGTGTAACTTACAAGCAATCCTGAATAAATCGAATAATGCTATTAGTTGGTTTTTCATAGATCTTGTTTACTATCGTTGTTCTCTGATTAGCAGCACACTCTTGAAAATCCCTTTTATCATAAATCTGCACANTTTTACGGCACAGGTTTCAGTGTTTATGGTGGGTGTGTTTCGCCGTATACGTCACGGCGTGTTACGGCCGTAATACGGTCGCTACCAAACGGGTGAAACACGGCCCGTTTACGATCGTAATTTCAGCGTTTACGACTGTTTACGGCACCGGAAACGACCGTAAACGGTCGTTTAGGATCGTCGTAATCATTGTCCTGGGTTATAATGTGAAAGAAAATAAAATATGACTGACATATATATATGATGAATGAACATACACGACGTGTATACATAATGAATGAACATACAGGACGTATGTATTATATATAGATGTGTATTATATATAGATGTATATATATACTTCGTTTTTCGTTCTGTGACCAATCATATGAAAGTTCCTGACGAAGAAAACTTGTACAATATAATATAGATATATAATGTGAAGCGTCTGATTATCTGTTATCGGGTCGAAATTAAAGCACAAATGTGAAACTTTACAAGAAAAAAAAACAGCCATGCAATATGCACAGTATCTCGTTAGTTTATCGATATTAGACATCTAGAAATAGGGAAAAATATGAAAGGAACTTTTGAAAAATAATTTTGTTATATATGAATCAAATTTTAATAAGTTTATTTTATAACTATAATAAGATGTTCGTCTTACATCCAGATTTCAGTCATTTACAATCAAATCAATACATGATAATTTATATTTTTTATTAAGGGTGTGATGGATGTGGGTGTGAAAGTGAATGTTAGTAAACTTTTAAACCAAACCCACACCAATATCACCACACGCAGTCGGTACGCCCACACCCTTGACTAAATGGTATTCTAGTGTGCTCAATCCTATATCACAAAACAAATGAGGACCATTGTAAAACTTTCTGTAAACACTGCTCTATTTTCTATATGAAGCAGTCTCTAGATTGACGATATTTTAACCATACTCAACGACTCGGTTAAAAATTTTAATGTGCCCATAATCAGCAAAGGATCTCTAATCAATTACTGTAAATAACTTCTTTATAAACCGAAAGAAATTGTTTGTCTGCCACTCTGGAGGAACGTACGGAATTCAGATTGTAGGAAGAACATCTGTGTTTTTGTTATATCCTTTTCAAATTTTTAATCCAAGTAACTAGGTTCTGGTTGGGTGGGGTGTGGATAAGATTTTCTAAGCACCTACACCCAAAAAAATACTATTTTTTTTCAAGTATTTGCATTTTCAATAATTTTATTTCATCTTGTATAATGAAGATAAATGTATTTCTTATATATTTATCTGACCAAAAAAAAAGAAGTAGAAACTTATCACATTATTGACGATATTTATTTAAGTATTTTTGTCCAATAACAAGCAATGAAAATGTAGAACTATAAAAATTTGATTTACGTGGTATATAATGGGGTAAATAGACTTGTGTAAATTGGCCTCTATTGATTGATAAAACTTTAATAAATGCTACTTTCTTTTGTTGTTTTTTTCTGGATAATTATATCGATAATGGTTCCTAGAAAATACATTGACAATATTTTCCAGATCAGCAGTTATAGTTTCTTTTTTTCATGTTACGCTATAGTCAAAATTTCATGTTCAACAGATGACACTAGTCTTCAATTCTATCGATTCTATAAGACATCTGATTTGCAGACACAAAATATATTTCAATCAATGAGATGTTATTAACATTCATAGTACTATTGTCTCATATCAATTAACATCGTTTCATTTTTTTCTAATTAATTTGATCATTAAAGAATGGCATTCAAATTTGCTGTGGTCGGATCATCGATGGCCATTGTCGGTTATGCAACATATAAATTTATGATAAAACCGAATCCAAGTATATTATAATAATGAGTTCTATATTCGATTGAAATTTTTATTTTAGGTATCTTTAGTGAAAAACCTTTTTTTGAAGAAGCTCTTATATTAACTCGTGGTTATAAACCAATAACAGAAAAACTAGTTGAACCAATTCAACCACTTAAAGTAAATACGTCAAATGAGTTCAATAATCTTACACTTCTTGGAGCACAAGTAAGTCTATCTAATTATTTTTCGATAGAAAAACAAAATGACTTCAAGAGTGAATTCATAGTTCAAAACAGATACAATTAATTTCACATATCTCTGCAATAATCGAATGTATTTTTCATATGTATTTTGATCATTATTTAGGTTCAAATTCCTATTAGGGGTGCTCAACGATCGGGTACTGTTTATTGTTATGCAACACGCGATTCACTAGATGATGAGTAAGAGATAGATCAATTGTCATATGTTGTTATGCATGATTAAAATTATTTTCATTTTAGATGGCATGTAGATAAATTAGAATTTAAAGCTAATAATCAACCAAATCGTTATCTTTTCTATGATCGATCTTTACGACGTGTACCAACACCATCTGAACAAGCTCTTATTGATTACAAGAAAGAACTGGCAGAAAAAAAATCAAAAGAATCAATGACTTCATCAACAACACCAGCTCCTGTGTAGGAAATTTCGATTGGTTGTTTTTGGTTTTTTTTTCATATAAAATAAAGAAAAACAAGTTCAGTTTGATTCATTATTTATTTTTTATTTGGTATCAAATGGAACTTGAAAGTTCTTATTCATTATCTTCATGTAATCATTTTTCTATAAGCAGTTCGATAGACTAAGCCGAATTATGTAGAATTTGTTATAGATTTGCTTAAATCGAGCTATGAATCAATATGTCAAGTTAGAAATCATCATGTAGTTTTCTAGCTTGTATATGCTCTTCGTATAAAGTTGAATATCAAGATGAATAAAACTATACAAAACGAATCATTGAATTTTTGTATTTTTTAGATATAATAAACTATGGTAGATGACGATTCAATGAATGATGATGATGATCAACTTGATGTAAAATTTTCTTTTTTTTTTCTTTTTATTTTAATTAAATTTTTTTTTCTAAAATAGATTCCCGATAATACAAAACATATTACATCAATTCAATTAGGTCAAGTTGATATTGATTGTTGGTATCATTCTCCATACATTGACACCGAAGATAGTTCAAATGAAAATAATCGTACTATTGATAAATTATATATTTGTGAATTTTGTTTACGATATTTTCTTAATAATAAAAATTATCGACAGCATATGGTAAATAATATTTATACAAAAAAACACATACACAGTTATAAAAGGACTAATGGTCCCATAAAGAATTTACTGGTCAGGAAGAATGTTGCTTCTTTTTGAAAATTCTATCATAAAAGTTTTTTTTTTATCGCAAATCAATAACTTTTTTACTGATGCCGAAAGAAGTACACGATAATATTAGATGTGGGTCTAGGTTGAATATAGTCATCACTCTCATTAACATTCAAAGGGGAAACAGCAGGCTACTAAACTTAAACCCGACTATTCTATTTAGTCAAAATTTGTCATAGTATACTTATCATATTTTATTAATCTAATTTCATATCCAGTCAATGAAGTTTTGTGTACACCAATAGCTAGGACGAATAAAACGGTGAAAACTAATATAGTAATACGTGCCTTCCAACGGTCTGAATGATGGCTCTCAATAGATATTAAGAGATAAATAGTAAAAAGGACTTCTATACCATTATTATAGTGATTAGGACGCAGAGACGACTCATAGAGAGATTGGTTTAACTCTGATAGAATCAGAACAAAAAAGAATGACTTATGCCAGTAGTGATGAGGAAAAATTTTCTACCTATTTGAACACTGATAAAATAGTTTCGATCAGAGATTTTGAAGACTGGAATTGAATTAACCAATCGAAAATCTATAAATTGCTGATTTCCTTTATAATCTAATTTTAATTTTAGAATGAATGTAATCGACGTCAACCACCTGGTCGCAAAATTTATGAAGATCTGAATGGTTTATCAGTATATGAAGTTGATGGAAATATATCTGAAGTAGATATTTGATAGAAAGATATTTTCTTTAGAAATTATTTATATATTTCATTGTAGCTTTATTGTCAATGTCTTTGTTTATTAGCAAAATTATTTTTAGAAAGAAAAACAATTTATTTTGATGTTAGTCCATTTCTTTTTTATGTTTTGGTTGAATCAGATAAACGAATGAAAAATGTTCAGCATATTATTGGTTATTTTTCTAAAGTAATTTTGAAAAAAAGTTTTTGTTTTCAATGATTTCGAGAAAAAAGAAAATTTATTATGATTTGTTTTATAGGAAAAATTAAGTGATGAATCTTACAATTTGGCTTGTTTAATGGTATTGATTTTATTATATTAAGTATTTTTACTAGATATTTTTTTGTCGCTTAGGTATTACCTCACCGACAACGACAAGGTTTTGGTCGATTTTTAATTTCATTAAGTAAATTTCTATTTAAAAAGAAAAACAAACAAAATCTTTACTTTTTATTTAAGGTTATGAATTAACTAAACTTGAAAAGAAAACTGGTTCACCAGAAAAACCATTATCAGCTCTTGGTCAAATGGCATATAAGAGTTATTGGCATTCGACAATATTAACAAAACTAGATGAATATCGTCATTCACAAGCATATGCTACAGTTACACAACTAAGGTTTGCTGCATTGTTCTTTTTTATGAAATACGATCTGAGATCATTGTTGAAGTATAGAACGAAAAAATTCTGGATCTCAAATACACTATGACAACCGTAAATGAATTACTTCCATATTCCGTACATTCATTCTCACGCATACATCTGATATTAATATCGATTAAACTTGTAAATAGTATATTATGTAGATAGAATTGAGTATTCAGTCAAAGGTGAAGCGAACTGCAACAACAAGCATCACTTAATTACATTTCTGGAGGATCAAGTAAAACGATGGTGAAGATATGTATTCTAGATAGAAGTAATAAAAGTGATTATCAATAGCAGTGTTACATTGTCATCTAGCAAGGATTGTGCTAACAACTTTTTTCTTTGATTTAAGAGAAATTCTTTTTTTTTTCATTTAGTATGGATACGGGTATTTGTATTGAAGATGTTATTCAAACATTAATTGATCTTAGATTAGGTCATACGGGTACATCAACAATAGAAATACATTATAAACAACAAGAAGCACGTGATCAACGTCATCGTCGTCGTCAAAAATCAAATGGTGATTATGATGAAAATGATAAGAATAATAATACTCTTAATTCTGATTCAGTATTGACTATTGATGAAGATGTTTTACATTCAACTATTGCTCGTTTATCAAATGAAAATTCATCATCACAAAATGATCAACATATTTTCGATCGAAATTATTTACGTTTAATAAATCGACGATGAAAAAACAAAATTCATTTGTATATATAATTTGTTGTCCTGTTCGAATGAGATACCATATATATTTTTTTTTGCTGTTGTCGTCTTGTAGAGTTATGTATAGAAATAAAGAGTAGATTGTATGAAAAATCTTGATATTAATCTCAATAAAGAGATAATCATGAATATTGTACCAAATATACGCAATGTATCTATGTACTATCAACCATTAAAAACTGTTTTTCTTGGGAATGATTGTAGTAGATAATAATTCATAAGTAACAGAGGCCTAAATAAGTCATCCAGTCTACCTGTCGGAGACAGACACAAGTCTTAAGCTTCATATCGATCACAACACTTCAATATGAAAAATTAATTTTTTTATTATTTCGACTAGACACAATCATGAATAATAATGCATTGTGACAACATTGCTCATTTTCTATTTATTTAGTTTATTGATTTATTTTGTTCAATTACTTTTCGCAGTTTTTAATCAATCATGATTGTTCTCAGATTTAGATTTCTATTGTTATAACATAGCAGTACTTGATATGTCGTTTTCAATTAATTCATAAAATTCATTGAATATCTTCTTGCTCATACACAGAAGTTTTCATAAATTTTAATTTTAATTTATTTCTGACAGTGAAATTCTGTAGCGAATCAATATATCCTTTAATCATTTCATTTTTCGGTATACATAACTTCTTTGTTTTCTTATCAAGATAATCTTCTACTTCCATTTAATTATCATCATAATATCGCTGTGTAAAAAAGAATACTGAACTCGTGATAGACAGACGAGGCCTAACAAAACTATGCTTGTTCGGATCTCTGATGCGTAATATTGAATAATGGATGAATAGAAATTTGAAAAGAAAAACTTGATTATGTCATTCAATTATTATTCTTAAGATAAATCTATTATTGACTTCTGTCAGATTTAGTTCAGCGATTATTAGATATTTTTTGTTTATGTAGCCCTTGAATTTTGACTGTAAAAATAATATAATTTCTTCGATTTTTTATAAAGTAGAAATCACCATTACGCCGGCAAATTTTTTCTAGAATATATTGCACCAGTGCATGAATTTTCACGCGTTTTTGTCCTCTACAAATGTAACATTCTGCCACTCGATGAATCTCATGTACTTGTAATAACAGTTCTAGTTCAATACAATTACAAAAATAAGATTCGAAACATTAACTGAAGAAAACTAGAATTTGTTCTTGCAATAAGAGATTACAAACATAAATGCGACGTAAGACATCCATTGAATATATTTTTCGAAAATAGTAGCAAATAGTTTTATAGTAAGACGATGGATGTTTGAATGTGAATGGTATCCAGTAGTGACGTTACCCGGAAAAGTTTCGATCGTTTTTGAGAAGTAGATAGACTGTTTCTAGCTCTCACCTTATTACGCCATTCGTAAAAACAATAAAAATATAATCACAAACATTATAAATGACTTCTGATATCTCTTAAAGTGTATCAAGAAATATGCAGATGAAAGAATGAAAAATTTTTTTTCTTTAAAAATTCTCGATACTTTAATAAAAATTTTTTTATTATAACAATTAATAAATAATAAAATAAAATAATTTTTCTTTTTAAATTTTGGCTTTTGATAATCGATAAATAATTTTATGCCTCTAAAAAATTTCAAAATATTTATCGATTATAAATTCATATTTTTACATACCTGAATGTTTTAAAATTTGTGCTGTAGCAGAATCTGTACCATCAACTTCACACACGCTGAATTTTCCTCGTCGATATTTTTCTCGAGATTTATGGATATACATAAGAATTGCATCACAAACTATACCAGCTATCACCATAAAACCAATACCTGAACCTTTAATATAGAAAAAAAACTCTCATTAAAATGTTTTTTTTTTTTTTTGTAAAATAAAATCAATAAATCATACCAATAGCTATAAATAAATTGACAATATTAAATTGTCCACCTTTGCCTGTAATAGAAATAACAAAACGTAAACCATAAACTTTAGATAAAGTTCGATAATTTGTTTCGTTGACACGATATTTTTGGACGAATCTATATAGAAGATAAATGTGAAAAGAAATTGTTTTAATTTCAATTAATACCGATAATTAATTCCTGGTGATAGTTTATCATCACCACTTTGTAATAGAGAGAATTCATAGGTTGGAACACATTTTTTTGGACTTCGATCAAAATTACATGTCCAATCTTGACGAATTTCTATTAAACCACCCTAGAAAAATTTATTTTTACTATTAATAATTACATACAGATATAAATATCAATTGAAAATAAAATCTAAAATAATATTTACGTCATATAGAAGAGCTGTTCTATTAGTAGTCAATTGATCAAGAATATAACCAACACGAATTATTGGACAATCCGCAGTATGAACAGTACCATCAAATCGACATGAAAAATTTGTGTTTTCTTGAATATTTCGTCTAAAAACAAAAAAAAACAAAATATTTGAAAATAAAAATTAATTCTTTGAAATAATATGTTTTAATAAACTAACAAATTCTTTTTGAATAATGTAAATGTTACCATCGTTTTCAAAAAAACTGTGAAATTTTCTAAATCTTGTCTATCCATCGTATAATCTCTTAAAATAAACAAAATAATTAATTTCAAAATAAAATAAATAAACTCTTACATTGATGACGAAAGTTCTTCTGGACACCATCCATCCATTTGACAAACTTTCATTGTTGCATTTTCTTCACTTTCTACACACTTTCCAGTAAAATAACCTATGACAAAGAAAAATAATAAAAATTTTATTATTTAATATTAAAAATTTTTACCAAATGTATTTGGTGTTGGTTGACCTTTTTTACAAGGATCCGTAGCCGTACCATTACAAAATAATTTATCTGCCAAAGCCTATTTTCAAAATAATAAAAAAAAAAGAATAAAGTTTCATTCAAAACTGAATTTTCTTACAGTTGGACATAGGCCTCGTGTTTGACCATAAGTAACTGTTTGACGTGTAGCAATAAAAAATGCATTATTTTCCTAATATAAAACCATTAGATATGTAAAAAAAAAATATTCTATTAACATACAATCGGTGGAATTTCATATTCAGGTGTATCCCATACATATTTTGTTTCATCGCCTATTATATTTTGTTCAATTAAAAAATTCTTTCTATTAGTAGACTAAAATAACAAATGATTTTACTTGTATAAAAAGTTGAATTATTTCCAGTAACTTTTGCAATTCCTTTAACTTTAATGACACTTGTTCCGTGAGGTTCTTGAATTTGTTGATAGCCTTTTTTCCACAAAACAATATAACTAAAATCAAAATTTAATTTTTATAATGTTTCTTTTTGATAATTTTACCCAATAATATATGCAAAAATAATTAATTGAAGAATACGATGAATTATTGCANTTGTTTCATCGCCTATTATATTTTGTTCAATTAAAAAATTCTTTCTATTAGTAGACTAAAATAACAAATGATTTTACTTGTATAAAAAGTTGAATTATTTCCAGTAACTTTTGCAATTCCTTTAACTTTAATGATACTTGTTCCGTGAGGTTCTTGAATTTGTTGATAGCCTTTTTTCCACAAAACAATATAACTAAAAATCAAAATTTAATTTTTATAATGTTTCTTTTTGATAATTTTACCCAATAATATATGCAAAAATAATTAATTGAAGAATACGATGAATTATTGCAATATATGTATGAGGTACTTTAACTAATTTTACTGTTGAATAAGTTAGAACTACATCAAAAAAGAATGAATGTAGTGCATTTTGAACTAAAAAATGAATTTAAATTGAATAAAATTCCAAAAAAAAGGGTTTCATCTTACCCGATCCAGGCATTGTCTTTTCTTTATATTTTCAAAACGAAGATAAAATAAAGAATATCATTAGAAAATGAAACAATAGTATTTGTAGGGAGTCGGGCCACAATCTTATCAGTGATAAAAAAGAAAAATAAAGAAGAAAGAACAATAGTTTGATCTTTGTACAGCAATGATTCATGAAAAAATTCAGATTTCAACTAACACATTTTGTTCATTGACATTCACTAATATACGCAATAATATTCAAATTTATACTTTGAATAATGGGACTTACTTTAATTTGACAAGAATTTGTAGTGTAACTAGAATTTCGATAGTAGCTAGATGACTGGACTCTACCTGATGGTGCAGGAGCTTGTAGTAGAGTTCAACTAACATGGATTCGATCAGTAGAAAGAGAAATTTGATCTCTCCCTGATCCCCGTTAGTTACGCCAATAACAAAAATCTTCATATTGATTCTCTCATGCGTCCAATGGTATGTATATTCAGTGATAAAAAGTTGAATTTTTTTTTTTGGCATCATTAAATTCTCTAGAATATTCGAAATAAAAAATCTTCTTGATTTAATTTAATCGGTTTTGAAAAAACTGAAACAAGAAAAACCAATATCCAAGATATAGTCATTTTTCATGAGAACAATAGAACAAAACCATCTAACAATGGTAAACTGAGTAATGAAAACAAGTGTATTATAGAAAATCTTATTGTTGAATACAATAATACTGCTAAAATGATTCTCTTCATGTTCAAAATTCGTTGGAAATAATAGAGAATATGAGCAACAGCCGATTACTCGTTAAGACAAATGCTAATGAAATTTTTCACAGAGTAAAAACTGACAACATTTTGAACATATCTCATTTTAGTTCTTTTCAAAACGATTCGATTGAGTCAAGAAGATTCTTTAGACTTATTATTGTAAACAAGTTAACAACATGTCTGTTAAAAAGAAAATCTGGATTTTATCATTTGTCTGCGCAGATATGTACTCAAAACAGACTATTTATCGAACTGACATATTAATTATTTCAATGCTAAGACGTCTTTTTCTTTTTCTATAAGTAGTAAATGTTTTCAAGTCATCTTATCCATCTAATAATGTTTTTTTTTATCAGCTTGTAAAAAAAAAAAAAAAAAGAAATTTTTCTAATCCCATCTATTTCCTACAAAACAAAAATGTATGATTACACATAATACGCCTGATTACGAATAGATAATGAGAAAATTATTTCATTTTAAAAAATGTTTTTTTCTTGAAGAAAAAAGCAAATTAAATTCTCAAGTAAACCAAACTGACGTAATAAATAAAATCAAACAAAAAAAATTTATCATAAAATTAGTTTGTATTCAAACTATTGTATAAATTCAAATCAAAATTAAAGTTATTTCATCAAATTAACTAATTGAATAGTGCCTAAAAGTGTTCCTTGAGGTAAACTGAATTCTATCGGGGGACTAAAAAATAAAAAAAATTGTTTCATAATGCAATATGAAAGATTTATCATTTAGATTTACTTTCATACGATAATTCATTGAAGAAAAAAAAAAATTTTTTTTCGACCAGTTTTCGTCACCGGAGATTATTTTTATGAATAATAAGAACTTATTTCATAGATATTTTAGAGACAAAAAAAAAAAAAAAAAAAATAAGAAAGACATTGTAAATGTGACAGACATCTACACGCACACATACATTGACAAAGGAAAAAAAAATAAATTTATGCAAATTAAAAATCATGAAATTCTTTTTCATATAAATTAACTGATGAACGAGCTGGTTCTTCATCTTCAGCATCAGGAAAATTATTTGCACGTATATCAGGTATCCATGGTGCACGAACTTTTTTTAAATATATTTGTAACCAATCAAGATCACGAAACCAAACATGTTTCTTAATATCACTTATACCGTTGAACATCATGCCAAATCTTTTAGTTAAATCTTTTTGTAATAAACCACGAACTATATCAACTAAATTGTCGGAAAATGCTGAACGAGGACGAAATTTTCCATTAATTATTTTATGATAGATTTTTTGTTGATCAGCATCCTGAATAAAAATCAAATAATTATATTTAAAAGAACGAAAAAACAAGAATCTTTTACCCAAAATGGGGAATAACCAGCATTCATTTCAAATATTAACACACCTAATGCCCAATAATCAACTAAAATATAATCCAAAAAGTCAAGAGATTAATTTTTTTTTTTTTTTTTTTTTATTCCTTACCTCCCATATTATATCCACGACCAAGAATAATTTCTGGTGCAAGAAATTCCGGTGTACCACAAAGTGTATATGCTTTACCACGATCAATTTTTTTTGCAAATCCTAGATAATCAAAATTGTTAATATAATTATATTTAAAATCAATTAAATAAATTCTTTTACCAAAATCACACATTTTTATATAACCATATCGATCGATAAGTAAATTTTCTGGCTAAAAAAAAACAATATTCATTATTCGATTAAAAAGATTAAAATATTAATTTACTTTAAGATCACGATAAACAATGCCTAATAAATGAAGATATTCAAGTGCAAGAATAATTTGAGATGCATAAAATTTAGACTTTTTTTCATCAAATTTTTCACAATCACGTAAATGACGAAATAATTCTCCACCTTCAATTAATTCAAGTCCAATATAAAGATTAGCATTGTCTTTAAATGAACAATAAAAACGTATTATAAATGGAAAATGAAGTGATTGTAATATTCGTTTTTCATTAACAACATGATCTTCTTGTTTCATTTTATGTGCACTTTTTTTATTTATTATTTTAAGTGCTATACGATGAGATTTAGATGAATTATCATGTAATTGAAGATAATCAGGTATTGGATCACGTGTATATTTTACTTCTTTAACCGAACCAAATGCACCACGTCCAAGTGGTCGAAGTACTTGAAAATCACGATAAACTAATGTAAATGTAGCTGGTGTTGCATATCGATTATCGAATTCTTCACGAGCTTGTTTATATAAGTCACTGTGAGCAGTTGCTGTTGATGTTGATGTTGAGTTATTCGATGATGAAGACGGACCACTACCCATTGGAGCATACGTAAGAAGAACTAAAATAATATGTAGAAAAATTTATTATGTTTTGATAGTCAGTTTAAAAAAAAATATTACAAGAAATAAAAATAACATAAGAAGATGCTTAATATCTTCTCTTTTCATTTATTCTTGTTAAAAAGAGACTACTATAAATGTCAATTGATAATTAAATATAACATAAAAAATGGAAATTCTTGTCCTTGAAATTAATTAAAGCATATTTGACCGCATGAGAATGAAAGAATAAATAAACATTAGTTTTCACCAATGAAGAAAAAAACCAGGGAGAAATTAGGATATGATGAAGAAAACAAAAAAAAAACTTTATTCGTGGTAAACATAAAATGAAATTATATGCAACATTGTGTGGTCTCTCTGTTCTTTTAATCACGAGTCATGATTTGTTTTCTTTTTCCTAGGCATTCTATGTGTATAGAACGCAAGAAAATTGATCAGGTATCTTTCATCTTCTTTTCTTTCAGAATCTAAACTACATCCTGTTTTCAGTTAAATATTTTTCTAATCAATTGTTTTCTATATAGATAAGAGATTCATCAATATATATCGATTGACAGAGAACTCTAACATATCGATTTTCTTATTCGAACACGCAAGAAAAGAAAAAAGGTAAAATCAAAAACAAAACAGATGAAAGATCGATCTAAAAAAATTTTCTCTTTCATATAAAAAATATCATAAATCATTTTTGTCGAACATACATTTATGTATATTAGAGTTATTTTGATTCTATAAATTTTTTTTTCTTGACAAGATAAGAAATAAACATCATAAAGATACTTTGAAATGCAAATGTGACAAGGAAATAAAAATAATATTACAAAAAAAAAGTAGAAATGATGGATGTATTTTTATTATTTATGTCTATTCAAGCTAGACTGATTGTTGAAAAAATAAAATACAAAACTTCTCGTTTTAATAATTAATTTAGCAAGCTTATATAAAAGAAAAACACAAATAAAGAATCTATATACGTCAATAAATCATAACTCTAAAAATTTATCTATTTCATTATTGTTTTCTCGTAATGGAATCATAAACGGTTAAAATTGAGAAGATGAGGGAAAAAAAAGAAAGAAAACATCGCCTAACGAACTTCTTTTTAACATGCATCGCTCAAAGCGACAATATGTAAGCATTCCTTGTCGAAGACTTCACTACTTTCTTCTTAATGTGATCAATGAGAACATCAGTAATAGCAAGAGACATAGTTCGTGTTTCCTACATCATCATTTCTCTCTCCTATTGCACGACAAAGTAGTACTACTAAACATCACTCAATCCTATAGAAAGACTTATACACGCATATGCTTTTTACCCCAATTTAATTGAACAAGCAACATAAGAACGAGAAAAAACGCTAGTTCGTCTAGAAAAGACCTTTCGTCTATAGAATCTAAATGCTTAATGGTGGGAAAAAAAAGAAGAAAAAAACTAGACAACCAAGTGCACTCACTCTAAGAACAGCCACTTTTTTTTTTGTTTAAGACTAAAATATTATGAAAAGTATATATATATATACTAATAAAAAAAACGAAAAACAAAAAAACTTCATTGTTTTCTTTTTATTGAAATATTATGTGTCAATGTTATTGTGTATTTTATAGGATTAGATGAGAAAGAAAAAAATGAAAAAACGTGATACTTCTCTTTTCTTTTATGACGACTTTTAATTATATCGTGTCCGTCAGAATTAATTCCATGGCTTCTTTATTTTATTGTTCTGTTTCTACAGCTATGGTACACCCACTAATATAAACAAAGGCAGTAAAAAAAAAACGAAAAAGAAGAATGTCTTGTTGACCTGAAAATATTATCATATGTCAATTCTTCTGTCTTATAGTAATATTAAGTTCAAAATTACATGACAATATTCATCATAATTTGGCTTTTTTTTGTTACTAGCAATAGACAGGCAAAAAACAAA